TGCCAGTCTGGTCAGGGGTCAACTTGTTTTAGGTCAACTGAGTTAGTTTCTATTTGTCCATTTGTTTTCCTTTCCATTCCACTCCTTTTGGCTTACTTTTGGCTCCTTGCCTGTTCTCTTTGCCTTGGAGTGAAATTGGCAAACATTTCTGTAAAAGTTCAGATGGTGAATATTTTATGCTTTGCGGGCTGTCTGGCCATTGTTGCAACTATCCAACTCTGCCATTGTAAAATGAAAGCGGCCACAGACATTAGGTGAACAAATGGGCGTGGTTGTGTTCTAAACTTTGTTTGCCAAAACAGGCAGCATGCTGTATTTGGCCCATGGGCTGTAGTTTGCCAACCCTGTCCTAGAGGGTTTATGCTTTAAAAAAAAAATCCCTTTACTTATATTTAGTAGAGAGTAGAGGCTACTGGGTGTATTCAACCTATCTTTCAACTGCAGATCCCAGACTGAGCTATTACTTTTTTGTTGATGAGAATTGGAACTGAAAATACCAGGTTGAGTCTTTAAACCGTGGAGGGAATGTTGGCTAGCTAATCATGGTCTCTATATCCTTTCCTAAGGGATCAGATCTAAGGGACCCAGAGGGCAGAAGACATAGATCCTAGAAGCCAGAGAAAGAAATTAGAGCAAGGAAGAGAGAACCTGACATTAATACCTACACATTCTGTCCCTATCTCAGGCATGGTAGTTTTCTGGAACCTTCCCACAAACTCGCCCCTGCAGCGGATACGGCTCTCTGACGGCTCCTTGAAGCTCTACCCCTTCCAGTGTTTCCTAGCCCATGACCAGGCTGTGCGCACCCTTCAGTGGTGCAAAGCTAACAGGTATCAGAGAATTGTGGAGGTGGGAGGTAAAGACTGGGACAGGCTGACTCTTCCAGACTTGTTCAGATTTGATCTTCTCCCATCTTCCCACAGTCATTTCCTAGTCTCTGCAGGAAGCGACCGGAAAATCAAATTCTGGGACCTTCGACGACCTTATGAACCAATAAACTCTATCAAGCGCTTCTTGAGTACAGAGCTGGCCTGGCTGCTCCCCTACAATGGTGTCACTGTGGCTCAGGACAACTGCTATGCCTCGTACGGCAGGGTGGAGAGAGGAGGGGCTCTGGGGACAGGCCCTGCAGGCTGGGGTGCAGTGTGCAGATTATTTTGGGGAGAGACGGGTTGAGGGTTGTCTCACTGAGGGAGTTTGAATTCTGGGAAAAGAAATGAATCTTAGGAAAAGGTAAGTTTTTTTTTCTTTTACAGTTATGGACTCTGTGGAATTCATTATATTGATGCTGGTTACCTTGGTTTCAAGGCCTACTTCACTGCTCCTCGAAAAGGAACTGTCTGGGTGAGCCCCTCTCTTCGAGACCTTCATTACACAGGAAAACAGTTCCTTTACTCACCTAGTGGTGGTCATAAAGAGGCAGTAGTTTTGGATAGAAAGAGAAGATAAGTGTGTGGTAACTGTATCATGGATATGGGTTATGATAAACTCATTTTTGTTTGTGTGAATGTCTCCCTCCCCAGAACTGAATGTATATGAATGAACGACTGAATGAATGAATGAATGAATGGAAAAAAAAATCTGTCTCTTCTTATTAGAGTCTTTCAGGATCCGACTGGCTTGGGACAATAGCCGCAGGAGATATATCTGGGGAGCTCATTGCAGCTATATTGCCTGATATGGCACTGAACCCAATAAACGTCAAGCGACCGATAGAGCGGAGATTTGTATGTATATAAATACTTAATAGCAGCACCGTCTGTTGGGTCCTAATCCACATGACCTCCCAAATTAGTGCTACCAATTAGCAGGAGAGTACAAATTAGTACTAGGGCTCCCAGCCCTGATAAGTCTTTCTGAGGTCATAACACAGGGTTATGTATAATTTTTCCTACCCTCATGCATCTGAACATATGTTTAAACATACTACTTTCTTCCACCTTTGAGTCTCTCCTGCTCCAAACCAATTTTCTCTCTTTAACTTGTATTCAGTTTTCAGTATTATATAACCTAATCTCACGGTTTCCTTTCTAGCCTATATATAAAGCAGATCTGATGCCATATCAGGACAGTCCTGAAGGTCAAGACCACTCTTCTGCATCATCTGGGGCCCCCAACCCTCCCAAGGCTCGAACTTATGCTGAAACTGTCAACCATCACTACTTGCTCTTTCAAGATACAGATTTGGTAAGTTGAGGCCAGGAGAATGGGTGTGGCATTAGAAAAAGTAGAAAATTTGAGTCCTTGTATAGTAGGAGTTCCAGCTCAAAGATGCAAAACTAAGAAGCTGCTTGCTTTCTCTCTCCTATCACACCCCTCCTTCCCAGGGTTCATTCCATGATCTGCTCCACAGAGAACCGATGCTGCGCATGCAGGAGGGAGAGGGGCACTCGCAGCTCTGCCTGGACAGGCTGCAGCTGGAAGCTATTCATAAGGTGAGAACCTTGTCTCATCTTCGCCATCCTTCGTCTCATTTTCTCCCAACTCTGGGCCTGTGATCAATGAAATGGGAGATGAAAAGGTAACCGAGATGGCAAAGGAGGGAAAACAGCTCCAGCAGCCTCATCCTCCAGAGCATGATAGACATACCTCATTCATGGTCTTCTCATTCCTACCTCTTACCCCATCGTGGTCCTGTCCTTTCAGATTGTGGCCCATTTTTTTTTGCTCTTACAGCTAGGACTCACCCTAAAGCAACAACTGTGAGCATCTCTCCTGTTTTTCTATTCTTTTCCCAGGTACGTTTCAGCCCAAACCTGGATTCCTATGGATGGCTGGTCTCTGGGGGGCAGTCAGGGCTGGTTCGGATTCATTTTGTCCGTGGACTCACTTCTCCACTGGGCCACCGTATGCAGCTTGAAAGCCGTGCCCACTTCAATGCTATGTTTCAGCCAGCCTCCCCTACTAGAGGGCCTGGCTTTTCTCCAACCAGCCATCGCCTTCTGCCCAGTCCCTAGTCGTGGTCCCCATAGGACCCTTGGAATGAAGTCTGCCAAGAACAGTTGGCCCCAAGCACACAGCCATAGGAACTGGGGCCTTCCTGGACAGTGATGCTGCCAGGCCTGGACCTTTAGACCTGCCTCCCCAGGACTCCTTAGATCCCTCTCCTTCCACAGACTTCTCCTGTCATCACAGCTCCCCGCAGGCAGGGGGGCTCTCCCTCTGCTAACTCTCAAGGCTCCTCAGCCTAGAACTATGACTCACAAGAAACACTCAGGCCTGACCTAGGCTTGGGAGTCAGATTGCTCATATTGAGCATATTGTGAAGTGGGTAAAGCTAAGTAAAGGTACTGGGTGTTTTTGAGACCACATGTGAGTGGGTGTTTGGAGAACTGGAAAAGATATCTGCATGAAGGCTCCTGTCTGACTGTATTCCAGGATCCAATATTACTGCCTTCCCAACTCTTTTGAGTACCCAACACACAGGCCCACAAGGGGGTGATAGTAATTTATTGGACTGAAGCTGCTCATAGTGCTTCCTTAACTAAGGAACACCACAAACACCCTGCCAACAGAACAGTGGTTCAGATCTTAACTTGCTCCTGTTTATGAAATATTCCCAATCACTGGTCATCTGACCCTTCTTGAACACCCCCAGTCATGTTTTAAAAAAATCTTCCTTTATATCAAGTCAAAGAGCTTACCTCTATAAATTTTACCGTGGGTGTTAGGAAATATAGTCATTCTTCCCTGTGATTGCCCTTTTAAGTATTTAAAAATAGCTATCATGTGTTTCCCAAGTCTTTTCTTCTGTAGATTAAATATCTTCAGTTACTTTAACCATTCTTTACACGTCATGATTTTTGATCCTTCATGATACTATGGCATTGTTGACTTATTAAACATGGTTAGCTACTTTATTTCAACTATATAGGAGATGTTGAGAGCCCAAGTAAAGTAGTGTATTATATCTCATCTTGTTAGAGTCCTCTTGTGAGATGTTGCAGATTCACAGTGACTGTAATATTGCCTCCTAAGCAAGGATAGACACCAGCAAGGAGTAGGCAAACCATAGTCTTAGAATGTATGAGTACAATCTGAGGTTTTGGGGGGAAGTAGTCAGATGACTTCAGGAAATAGAGAAAAACATGCAGCCTGTTCCTATTGAAGAGAATGGAGATTAGTTCAGTGCCTACCGGGAACAAAACTGGCACTCTAGACTGATTGGCCAAGTATCTGGGAACAGCTTTCTGCCTCTCCAGTGTAGGGAACTTATATGTTAAAATATCCCCTTTAAGAGGAAAAGAATCAAGTAGTTAAATTTCTTCCCTGTATGGAAGAGGAAACAGACCTGGAGGCAACCCAGTCTATTAGCAGCAGAGTGACTGCAACCCACATCAGTGCAAAGGAGCCAAGTATTGCACCATCCTATTGTGATCCAGCTCAGGTTATGCCAGTTTTGTTTTTGAGAGGACTAGTGGGAAGTGCTTCCCATTGCAGAGAAGCTTTGCTCATTCTACGTAGAGGCCCCTTGACACTGCATCATGAAATCCCACTCTCAGAGCTAGAAAAGATGGGACCTCAACATTTCACACTGTTGAGGTGGAAGGTTGGTGTAGGCAGCCCTACTCCTGCTGCCGAGTCTCTGCCCTAATCTCAACCTCCAAAGGAAAATCAGGAAGATGCTTTCAGCCCTTGTGCTTTTTCTCTCCCATAAACCCTTTTCTCCCCAGGCCACTCCCCATCCAATCTTCCCTCCCAGTATATCCACTTCATATTATCCAAGGGTTCTTGTACTTCTTTGTTCCTTTGCTCACAATGGTCTCTCTTGGAGTGTACTTTTCTGCCATCTCCACCTAAATCCTATTCATCCTTTAAGGTCACAGCTCAAATACCACCTTCATCAAGGAGCTTCCCAGATATCTCTGGTAAAATTAGTCTCCCTCCCATGTGTTCCCAAGAGGAAAGGAAGGAAAAGAGGATAAACAAGTGTTTATTAAGCACTTGATCTACTTCAGATACTTTAGCATGTTATTTAATCCTATGAAGTTGGTATTGCTCCATTTTACATTGTAAAGATAAGATTCTGAGAGGTTAAGCACTTTGAATGAGGTCATATAACTACTGATTGGTGGTGTTGGGGTTTGAACCTACACAGTCTGACTTCAGAATACAACTTTCCAACTTAGCATATTTGGTCTCCTATTACATTTACTACTGTAAATTCACTCCTCTAACGCGGTGTTTTTCATACAGAAACCTGTGGCATCGAATTCCCTTGCTTCCTTACTAGATTTCTGCAATGTCTGTGACGGGATTCTCCCTGCCTTAATCATACAGGGATTGAGTACATTGGAGCTGGAGCTAGCCAGGTAGAGAGCCTGAAAAAGTCAGATATGGCTGTTTCCTAAAATGTGGGCTCCCTGGAGATAATTAGGCAAAGGCTGCCAGCCTGACAAATCTACTCCCAGGAGTTTCCACCACCCTAGAAAGGATGTTGCACTGTATTCACAAAATTTTAAAATGTTAGAGCTGGAAAGGGATTAGGAAATCACCTAATCTATTGGTTTCCAAACACTTTTAGTTGTGGGCCCCTTTGCTTAAAAGTGGCTCTTTATAGAAGCATACACATTAAAAGAAAAAAAAAAGTTGAGGTAAAGAAGAACCTGTGATGCTTCCTCTCCAAACCTCTATAAACCTCTAAAACTGAGGAGTCCAGTTTCAAAAAATGCGTAGTCCGACCCTCTCATTTCACAGGTGAGGAACGTTAAGTTCTAGGCTAGTGATGACGAAGGCTGCACAGCCCACTAGTTAGGAAACCAGTACCTAAATGTGCTGAAGTTCAGTAATTCCAATGCTTTTATTGGAGGAGTCATCTTTACGCAGCATTTCTAAAGACTACTGTGGACAAAGCATTGAACTAGTTGCTATGAGGACGACAAATATGAACAAGACCCAGTTCCACCCATTCGGAGCTCACAGTTGAGGCTAGTGAAGAACATAGAGACACTTAAAAAACAAAACAAAACAAAAAACAACAACCCACCCACACGCACGCAATTAACTATGGCTAATCATAGTCTCCAAACTATGATTCTCGAGACCGAGGAGGATGTCAGGACCTTGGCCAGTTCCGGACGCGACAACAGTGAGGGTCTTTCTAGGTTGAGGCCCTGGCACCGGGGAGAGAAGGGGCAGGGGGCAGAAATCGGCCCCAAGTGGGAAGTATGGCAGGCGAGCCCCGCACCAAGACCCGGCGCACACCGAGCAGAGCCGCCCTCCGTAGGTATTAGCGGCGCAGTCCACTCCCATTCCTGCTCTGGATGCAGGGGAAAGCCTCGCGAGCAGCCTAGCGGAAGGGGCGGGATCTGGGGCGGAAGTCCTGCCCGTTCAGGTCACGTGGTAGGGGCTGAGCTCGCGCACAGGTGAGTAGCGGGAGATCCGCAATGACCGGCTTAAAGCGCCCTACGCACGGGGCTCCTGCAGCGCGGGTGACCGTTCCAGGCTCCAGGGAGTCAGAGGCTCTATTTCCGGTGTGTAGTTGGAGTCAGGGAGGATGCAGTCTGGTTCCAACTAAGAGAGTGAATTTGGAGACCGACCAGGCTCTGGATGAAAGCCAGCGTAAACTTTTCCTCCCGTGTGTCTCAGTCAGGACGGAGGCCCCGAGAAAACCCTGCTTCGGGGCTGGGGGTGGGGTGGGCGGGTGGCTGCCGCTGGGATTCCATAGCCGCCCACAGCCTTCCTCTCTTCCCTGATTGTCTAAGGCGACCCCTGTAAGAGGAACCTGTACAGGAAGCCTCTGCCCCTTAGGGCTTATTGGAAACGGAAAGGGGAGAGGAAGTGGGCACACGGGAATGAAGAGTGTTTCTTTAATTGTGGAGAGGGGCAGTGAGGGTGACCCCATCTCCTCTCGCCTTGACAGGAAGCATGGCTCTCTGGCGGGCTTATCAGCGGGCTCTGACTGCTCACCCATGGAAAGTACAGGTCCTGACAGCTGGTGAGTGTCCCTGTGAGACCTGAGTGGTACCGGAGCAGACTGATTTGGGAGGCAGAAGCTTGCCCCACAACACCTCCCTTATGTTTTGCTTCTATTTAGCCCCCTTGAAGGATTAGGTCTCATCCCAAGCTGTACCCAGTCAGTTTTGGAGGGAGGGTCCCCGGGGCTGTTCTTAAGGAAAGGGGTATGCATAGGTGGCCTAGCTGTAAAGTAGGATCTGAAAAGTCCTTAAAAAGCTGAGGAGTCATCCTTTTAGGATAAAGGCATTGCCCCAGGAGGCCTTAACTTAGACAACAAACAAAGGCTTCTTTAACATTTTACAGTGTGCAAAACACTTTCAACACACGTTATCTCATAGGGTCTCCACAAAAGTCAGTAGGCTAAGATTACTTAAGTCCACATTAGATCACACACCTAATAAGTGCTGGAATCAGACTCTGACGCTAGTTTAGTTTTCTTAGTATTGTTTTTATTGTGAAATATATCTTAACACACAAAAGAATGGTTAAGATACGTAAGTACCATATGAGTAACATTAAAGTGAATACTCCTGTATCAGCACCCAGCTTTGAGACTCCTTGAGTGCTTGTCCTTAATTCATACACCCCAAGAGATAACCAATTTCCTGAGTTTTGTTTACATCATTATTTTGTTTTTCTTGTAGTTTTACTGCCTATGGATTGTTTGGATCCCCAAACAATATACTAATCAAGGATTTATATTTACTATAAACCCAGTAATTGAGAGGCAATCTCATAAAGGTAGCCCAGTGATTTACCTGTATTTGTTACCATTTTCATTTTGCAGATTAGCTAATATGAGAGAGGATGGCACAGAGATAAGTTTTACAGGGGAAAAGATTAGAAGATCTATAACTACTGGGACAATGCAAGGGTGATCAGGTTCAGGTAGGGATCTTGCCTATGTTTAGAGGAAGGGAACAGGATTCTAATGAGTACCATGGGCTTCTGAGAAGACTGTTGAAAGGGGTGGGGGAGCTAATGAAAGCCAGGGTGCAACAGCAATCCTGTTACTGGAATAGCCACACATCAGCACCAGACACTTCAGTGTGTGACTGGCCAGGGGATGGACTCTTTTGCCCCTCCCTGGCCCCTCTCCAGCCTCTCCCACGTCCTGTCCTTAGAGTGTCCGTCAGCCTGCATGACTCACCTGGCTGTGTGTGTGGTGACTCATGCTGGATTGTGTGGCTGTGATGGGAACTGACACGCTGGGCCCTTTGCCCAGCCTGATTCCCTTAGGGACCCTAACTGCCGGAAGGAAGGTTCCCCCTTGTGGCCATCAAGAATAGGGAGGGAAGGATAATCCTTGTGATTCCCTTCCCAAAGGATCTGCAGCTGACAAAGGTAGGAGCTTTAGCTCCAAGGGGCCCAAGTGCAGGTATGTGATTGGACGGAAGTGCTGGTCTGTGTGTGCTAGAGCCCTGTGACTCCATCCCCCAATCCACCCCACCCATCTTCCTGAGGCTGTACCCTCTCAGCCTCTCTAGGTAGCCCTTTTTTTTTCTCTAGACTTTCCGAAAACTTTCAGAGTTTTCCTTTCCTGCTGCTCAGTGTATTCAGATAAAACTACAAATAAAGGGAGGAGGTGAATTTAGCTCGCTGAGCTGTCTTTAGATCCCAGCACAGTAGGTCCTAAGATCCCATGGGATAGCTCATCACACTGGAAAACAGAATAGAGATTTCAGACTTGGAATTAGAAGACCAAGATTTGAATCTCAGCCATAGCACTTATGTAAATCAGGACAGGACAATAAACCTCTTTGAGCCTCAGTTTCCTCACTTAAGAGTTTGAGTTTAGTTATGTGACCTCACAGAGTCAGTGTAGAGATTATCTCTGTGAAAATGGTTTAGAAATCAAAACACGCTTAAGCAACTTAAAGGCTCCCGGAATTGGCTTTTTCTATAACTATTGGCAACCCAAATGCAACAAGCTATTCTTTTTAAAGTGGTGTTTGGGTTGGGTTTGTTCCACTTGCCATAAATTTGAATGTGGATAACTATCTTAACCTTGGTTCTCCAAAAAACAGAGCCTGAAGCTTCTTTGCAGGTACTTTGTGAGGGAGCAGGAAGTAATCCCATGGGGGGTGGGGAGGGACAGCCAATATAAGGCTGTATTATCAAATTGGGTACAGCTTAGGGCATATGGCTGCTCAATCCCTTAAAACTGACTGAGAAGCTCTTTGAAATGCCTCTGAAGACTCTATGGGTAAGTAATCTTTTCTGGAGAAAAGGAGAAACCTTTACCCACCAGCTTTATCCCAAATTGGTCAAAGATTTGCCACATGGGATGTTAACGTCCATGCTCTACCAGGTTGCACATGCATAGTTTTCGGGCAAAGCATCAACAGCTCAGCCCCATAGGCCTGAGACAAGGACCTATCAGGTGAACTGCAGTTGTGGCTGGAGTAATAGATAAGTGAATCAAAAAGATCTGAGATGGTTTGAAAGAAGTGTCTGATACACCCAGTTTTGGCCACGCCAGAGTCAGGAACAGGGCATCTTGGGCAAAGGTCTGCTGTGTGTTCTTCAGAGTCTGAGTCAGCTTTCTCCCATCCTTTCTTGAAGGCCCAGCTCCATCCCTCTTAGGCCACTCTGGTCCTACTGTGGAAGCAGCTGAACTTCTGCACACACTGGTTTCCCTGGAGTCTGAATTAAGCCAGAATATGAGAGCTAAACAGGCATTAGAGACTATCCAGTCCAGCCCCTGATACTACAGAGAAGGAAACTGAGGCACAAGGAGGGAGTGACAGGCATGAGGCCTGGTCAGTGGTGGAGTTGGCATTAGAACCCAGACTCTCCCCAGTGCACTGCTCTGCACTTGAGACACCTTTGGCCTCAGAATGCTGAGTGTAGCCCCAGCTAGTGTAGGCTTAAGATACCTGACAAGCTGCAGAAGCCTTCATTTGGTCTCATTTTCTAGCAGGAGGATGGGTTCAGGGCAGGAGTGGGGAGAGCATTCTGACCAATCCCAGAGGAGGCACTCCCCTCTCACTGCTGGGCTTCAGTGACCTCCAGGCTCTGCCAGACCAAGCCCCTGTCCCAAGCAGCTGTTTAATTGTTGGAGACTTCTGGAGAGAAATGAGGCAATACCCTGGCCACATGCCAGCAGCTGGACCTGCAGACCCAGGCCCCCTATAGTCAAGGCCACGCTTCCTGCTCTTCATTCCAACTTCCTGTCCCCTAGCCTTCTCATCTTCCATTGACATTTTAGTTTCTTGCATCTGAGAGTCCACACACAAAAGCCAGGAGAGGACTACAATAGAAGTGGAGAACTTGCTCCCACCTGTGCCTAGGGAGAGGATGTGGAAGTTGGGGCTTTTCCACTAGTGGGCATGGGGTGATCCCAAATAGATCTGTGCTCAGGGGTAGGCTCTCCCCACCCCCACCCCAACCCTGTGCTGAATCTGGTTGCAGTGACGGCATGAGAACTGGCACCTACCCAGGGGCATGATGTCACACCTGCGCCAGCATCTACCCGCTGGGCTCCTCGCCCAGCCTGGCATTGGGGCATTACTACCCAGCAGCCCCTTTTCCTGCCCCATCAGGGCTCAGGCACTATGTCTCGGCTGGCCTCCAGCCCCAACCCCCTGGAAACAAGTCCAAGGAAAGGAGAATCAGAACACTGGAGGGTCCAGACCAACCAGATCTGTCTAGGAGGACTCCCAGAGCCTAGAGTGGTTTGGGCGTGTTTGGGCTCTGGGTTGGGGAAGGTGGGATGAGGAATCTGAATGTCAGTCCTTCCTGCTCAAACAATCACCTGGACCAGAAATGCAGGTCTTGCTCTATGCTTGGATCAAAGCCTTAGACCACCCTGGAGCTGCTGCAGGCCCCTGATGATCTGTGGGCAGAGGAAGACCTGGGCAGTGTTCTGTCTGAAGGGGACAGAACTGGCAGGCCTGCAGGCTCCACACCACCTACTCACTCCTGCTGCTGCCCGTTCACTTGGCAGTCTCTCCGGCCTGATGGGCATGGTTTGGGGACCTGGGATCCATCTTTCTCAAAGACTGCAGGCTTCCAGGGCTGTGGGACTTGAAGTCAGGCCCTTTGGTTTTCATTCCTGCTCTGCCTCTAGCTCGTGTGTGACTGATGGTAAGCCTTGAAGAGTGAAGACACACCATTCTTTGTGACTGTTTCCCTCCCAGGAATATTGCTGCTTGCCCTCCACAAAGTGACAAGGAACAAAGGAACACATTCTGGGGAATCAGAGAGGAAGTACCTTAGTCCAGGAAGTATCTTTGATATGCAGGCCTTTGGGACCTTGTTTGGGCAGGAACCCCCTGCGAGTAGCAGCCACAGGAGCCTCTTGGTGCCACTGGCCCCTGAGCCCAAGTTTCAGCCTGTGCTGGGAATTCCCTGGCCTCCGGCTGGCTTCCCCTTGAGAGAAGGCCTGGTTCAGGCCCCAGCTCACTCCTTACCAAGTCACCTCATCTCTCCAAGACATTGAAGGGAGGTGTGACCTCTACCTTCCAGATCTTTTGTGAGGATTAAGTATGTGAGAGCCCTTTGTATACTGTAAATGTCTTGCCAAAGTAGAAGGGCAAACTGTTAGTTCCTTCACTTAAGCAGTGACTGTCTTTCTGTTCCACTCTCCCCAGGCCTTCTCAGGGTCAGTCTTTCCTTTATGCATGCCACAGCAGCTCACTCCCCTCCCTGGGCTTGCAGCTGGTGACCCCAAGTTGTTAGGGCAGGGGGATAGGGAGTTAAGTGCTAACTGCGTGGAGCAAGCCATCAGTTCCCCTGCTCCCACACCATGAGCCTGAGTGCGGTCCTTTGGGCTAGACTTAGCATTCTCAGTGCCCATCCCGGGGCAGTCCTGTTTTCTGGGATGATGCATTTGACATTTCTCCTCAGTTTATTTCTGAGCATCTGCCAGGTGCTTGGTTAGGTGTGGTGGGGGATAAGAGAACAAAGATGTCCAGGATTCTGTACTTGCCCTCTGGGAAGCCGAGTCTAGCTATGTTCTGGAAAGAGCCTCCACCACTCTGGGAGTTTCAGGGAGAGGAGAGCCAGGGCTCCCTTGATGGGTGTACTGAGGGTCCCAGAGCTGTTCCATGGCTGGGCATGCCAGCAGCCTAGGTCACCTGTGGGTGTCCTGGCCCCAGCTCCAGCCCCAGCTGCAGCTCTCAGCCTTACTCAGCTGCCTGTGACGAGGCTGGCCAGGGGCAGGGCTGTGCAGAGGGTGCGGGGGAAGAGCAGTGAGTGTGCAGCCAGCACCGACGTCAGAGCCAGCTCTGGGCCAAGGAGTGGGGTTGAAGGATGAGGATATGTTTGCCCAGTGCTAATTGAGGGCACAGGGACAGTGGTGGCTGCGGGGCTGGAGGGGGCTCTCATTATTCAGTGAGATGGACAGGCAAGCTGGAGGTCACACGGTCACTCCCAAGCGGCCCTCGAAGTATGTGTTTGCTAGAAACCATCACACCAGCATAACTGACTGGGGGCTCTGTAAATAGTGGTAATCTTTGTCTTAGTTTCTAGGTGTGGGTATCCAGCTTGTGCCACTTGGAGCCGGGTATCTGTGCAAGTGAGGAGAGGGGAAGCGGGGCAAAGGCCTGGGGAGAAATGGCCATAATACCTACTGATAGCTCAGTCTGGGTCTTGAATGGGGGCCTGGGTTTACCTGATCAGGCCAGGAGGTGACCGGGACTCTTCCACACAGGAACTCTAACTCAGCCAGTCATCCTTCTGCCTGGGACCATTTGAGCACTCGTGTTTTAGAGTTATTCTTGCTGTTCTCCACAAAGAGAGACCCCAATACCAAAGGGAAGGACATTGGCCAGGATCTTGCCTTGAGCTGGCGTAAAAAACCCTGAGGACTCCTTACCATTCTACGCGTGATCTATTCATAGTACGGTGTCCTGGAAAGAACACCGTCTAGGAAATCAAGCCACCTGGTTCTTGCCTTGGCTTAGCCACTTGCTGACCTGCTGGGATATGAGATCCCAGACCTTCATTTCCATACCTTTAAAATAAGGGGTTTGCACAGAATTATCTGGAAGGCTTTCCCAGTCCTGACAGTTGGTGCTTCTCAGCCCCTGGCACCTTAGATTCTCCTTCCTACCTGCGGCTTCTGACTCCGACTCCCCTTCACTGCTCAGTGCAGAGTTCTTGGGCCCTGGCCTGCTCAAGGCTGCTGCTCCCAGTTTCTAACAGGACGCATATGAGGTGTCCTGTTAGACACCTTAAGGCAGCAGGAAGAGACTGGCCATTTGCCCCAAAATTAAGCCCTTGGGCTCAGAGTACCAGAACCTCATTCAGTCAGCAGACTTACCTCCCTTCTTGAGATGGCATCCTGCCCCTGGGAAGTATCCTGACACCTGTGTACCCTGCACAGGGTCTCTGATGGGCCTGGGTGACGTTATCTCACAGCAGCTGGTGGAGAGGCGAGGTCTGCAGGAACACCAGACTGGCCGGACCCTGACCATGGTTTCTCTGGGCTGTGGCTTTGTGGTAAGGGCTGCTGGTGGATTGAACAGTGGTCTTAGTTCCCTGTCATCCTTTAGTTTTTCTTAGCCCCTCTCACGTCTTAGCCAACCTTGAGGGTCTGCTTCCCCGGGGGTTTGGTTTCTAATGCTCAGGGGAGGAGCTTTGTTATATGAAAGCCTAGATCTCCCCTCTGCATCCCTGTTCCCTTCTCTGGGGTTTACTTTCAGGGCCCTGTAGTAGGAGGCTGGTACAGGGTTTTGGACCGGCTCATCCCTGGGACCACCAAGGTGGATGCACTAAAGAAGATGCTGTTGGATCAGGTGAGCAGAAAGAAAGGGAGTTGGGAAGGGTAAGCCATGTTGGGGGAGGGCAGGGGTTTAGGTGCTCACAGGCCTTTTAATTTCTCTTCCCTAGGGGGGCTTTGCCCCATGTTTTCTAGGCTGTTTCCTCCCACTGGTAGGGACCCTCAATGGACTATCAACCCAGGACAATTGGGCCAAACTCCAGCGGGTGAGCTGGGCAGGTGTGGGGACAATCTCTGGCTGGCAGACCTGCAGGCCTCGGGGAATGAAGCAGGCTTCATGGGGATGGGAAGGGTGGAGGCACAAGTAGGGGAGGGGAGGAGGTGGTGGAGTCCTGAGGGGGTGGGGTGCAGGAGTGTCTTTGAACAGAAGTCTGTATGAGATACTCACCCTGGGAGGTGGGAGCCACTTGGAAATGCAGGTGTTCACTTGTTCCTTCTCTTGTCTCCTCAGGATTATCCTGATGCCCTCATCACTAACTACTATGTAAGAGCTGACCCCTACGCTGCCTGTTCTCCTGCCTTCTTGAGTCCAGAAGTACCCAGGGATTGGGGGTCCTCCTGACACAGAAATCCCTCAGTTGGGATTACTCTCTCATTCCCGGTGTGGGCACTGTACTCAGGGAAGCACTCACCTGGTTGTGCAGCGTGTTCTTGTCTGCAGAAGTTGGAGTAAGGCCAGGCAGGGCAGTGAGCCTGGGTCAGGTGATGGAGGCAGCCCCCCAACCTTTACCTTCTCTCTCTTATAGCTCTGGCCTGCCGTGCAGTTAGCCAACTTCTACCTGGTCCCTCTTCATTACAGGTATGACAGATCCCCGCCCCACTCTTCAAGGAAGATGTACATTACGAACAATTAGAGACAAATTGATTCTCATTTTAACTTACTTAGACCCTCCAGAACACTCTGCCCTGGTCAGAGGTCCTCAGACTCCTGAGCATTTTATTCAGAATCTCTCATCTGTTACACAGCTGTCCCAGTGTCTGCCCACTGACCTTTCATCTTCCTAGGAAGACTCTTGCTCCACAACCCTTGTCTCTAACTTTTGTGGCATATCTGCAGGGACAATGCCTACTGTGCTTCAGCCTAGGTTAGGCAGAAAGGTAGACTAAAGAGCCAAGTGCACAGCAAAGTATTATTTTACCCTACGTAATACAGGAAGTTGCTGAAACCACAATAAAAAATATAGTGGAACTCAAGATGAGTGGTTAAATTATTGGAAGTGGCTTTGGGAACAGGAAAAAACAGGAAACTCTTCAGAGGGGACAGGATCAAAATTGACATGAATAGCATAGCTAAAAGGAATACAGACTTATGAACCTAATCCCAAGCTTTAGGGTCCTTGCAGTGTTCTTTGAAACTAGAGCAAGGTAAATTTAAAATAAAGAAGAGGTACTACTTTATATGGTGGGCAGCCCATTTTTGGAAGATGAGATCTGTACAAGATGGACGGACGTGTACCTAGAAAGAGCCTGGACGGTAGTATGAATAACAGCCACGCATGGAAAGATGGCTGCTGAGGGGGGTTAACTCTGAGGCTCTTGTCTGGGAGACAGAGCTCTGGGCCAGCACCAGAACCTGAGCTGGTGGTCCTCTGGTCTGAACCACACATCCCTCCATGGGGGCTGAAGGAAGAAGACCTAAATCTGGATGTTCTTGGAGGTAATCCCTCCTTTTGCACTGCACTTCGCCATCTCTCCCTGCTTGCTTGCTCCTTATTCTTCCTCTTCTTCATGATGCCATCCCTGTTCCTTAGGTTGGCTGTTGTCCAGTGTGTTGCTGTTATCTGGAACTCCTACCTGTCCTGGAAGGCACATCGGCTCTGAGCCTGCCTCACTCCATTGTTTCCACCTTGCAGTGATACAGCTTGACCCTGGAAGGGTCAGACCACCTCCTCAAAGTGGGCACATCAGTTTTCACGGGATTCGATGCCTGGTCAGAACTTGATGGGATTAGCACTCTGAAAGGCAATTTCACTCTAAGTGTAACCTGACTCCTACTGAAATCACCAAAACCTTGATAATGGTCTTATAGCCACCACATAGTAGGCACTCCATAAGTACTTGTTGAACTATATGATTTTGTCAACCTAAGTTTATACTCATATCCTTGCAAATGCCACTCATCCCCATTCTTCATGGACACACATTTGTTTTTCTAAACCTCCCCAGCCCTAGTGTAGCTCAATTTTGGAGGACCCCCTCAAACCCTTTATATGGTGCCTCCATAAATATGTTACTAAGTAGGTCATCTACAACCTACAGAGGCAATAAGTAAGACTCAGCAGAAAACTACTGGGGAGTTGAATTTTCTAGAGCTTGGAAAGAAGCCTGGAGAACACCAAGCCCAATCTCCTGTTTTAGATGAGGACACTGGGGTCCACAGAAGTGAGGTGACCTGTCGACACCACGAGTTTGTGGCAGAGTAGAAACTTGAACCCATGTGCTATAGATTAAATGTTCATATCCTCCCCAAATTAGTATGGTGAAAACCTAATGCCCAAGGTGATGGTATTAGGAGGTGGGGGCCTTTGGGAAGTGATTAAATCATAAGGGCAAGGCAAGAGTCCATGTGAGGACACAGCAAGAAGATGCCATCTATGAATCAGAAAGCAGACAGCAAACCTACTGGCACCATTATCTTGGACTTCCCAGTCTCCTGAACTGTGAGAAATAAATGTTTGTTGTTTATAAGCCACCCAGTTTATGGTGTTTTTGTTACAGCAGCTCAAACAAACTGACATCAAGTTTCCTTACTTCCTACCCAGTGATCTTAACCTGGAGAGTCAAAGATAAAGTAATGCTGCTGCTGTGATTCCCAAGAGAAAACTTAACTTGGCCAAACTCCTGCCTTGTGGCAAACCCACAAAAGCAGATGGATTAGCCTTTTGTTGTCTGAATGTACCCTGACTGTAGAGACCCTCTTTTTCATGGTACCTCAGTCAGACAGCCCTAGAATTCAGGTCCTGGGGCTGGAATAAGATCAAGAATACTGGCAGCTCAAGCTGCTTCAGCTGCCTCTTGGGTGGGTACCATGGTAGTAGCTGAGTGCCAGCGGTGCTGTCCTGATGCCTCCATTTACAGAACGGATTGCTAGGGCAAGGGACTAGGTCTGAGCAGCACAGCGTTTTCCCAGTGCCTCTGGCCCATTCTGAGGCTAAAGACAAGGTCAGCACCACGGACAGCCCCACGGTCCAGCCTCCCTTTCGTGTGCCAGAGAAGGCTGGAGATCTGGACTAATCTGGTCTGGGGACGGGCCCCCTAGTCACTGCCGGCTGTTCTAAGCGGGTGAAAAACTCGTGGCTCCCAGAGCAATTTTTATGCCCTAGCCGGTTTCTCGCTTTCTTGAGTCCGGTGTCACTTCCAGAGACGCGAAGGCTAGTGTCCTGAGGCGCGCCCCTCCGGGTCTTCGCAGCCGCAATGGATCGGACTCGCAGCTGCGGCCGTTTATTGCTCTACAACCAGTGCATGTTCCTCGCTGACGTCAGTCGGAGCTGTCCTGGTGCTATATAAGGCTGGCGGCGGTCCCGGGACAGACCCTGTGTTCCCCAAGGCGCCCTCAGCCCGCCCCGAGGGACAGAGACTGGAGCTCCGTCCTGCACCGTGCAGACGCTCTCCGGCAACCTGTGAGTGGCTCTGAGCATCTGCCCAGATTGCCTCAGCACCAGAACTGCGCTCAGCTCACCTACCGCGACCCACTAAGAGGGAGGGAGGAAGAAAAGGGTGGCAAAGAACTGGGCAGCGGCCGGGGCTGGAGGGAAGGCTGTGGGCACCGGGCGGCAGTCTCAGGGGCCCGGCAGGGGCGCTGGAAGTGCGCGGGAAGGGGAGTGGCACCACCTACGACTGCCCCAGACGCACCTCACCCTGCGCTGCTCCTGTGTGTCCAGGGTTGGTGGCACCATGAGGCTGGCGGGACGCGCGGCGCTGCTGGCTGCGCTGCTGCTCCT